ACGTGTGCAAAAGAACGTCAGCAAGTAGTGCTACAGTTGGGCACTAGTGACGCTGAACGTGCGTTGGCTGTAGGAAAATTGGTAGAACATGACATTGCAGGTTTAGACATAAATATGGGCTGTCCGAAAGAATTCTCCATAAAGGGTGGTATGGGTGTGGCGCTACTTGGGCAACCAGATAAAGCGGAGTACATTTTGAAAACACTTTGTAAAAACCTCAGCATTCCTGTGACCTGCAAAATTAGGTAAATTAAAAAACAAAGAGCGCACGATTTCGAAACGAACTAATTGTAAAGCATTTTTGCAGAATATTACCGGATTTGAATGATACAGTTAAACTCGTGCAGCGCTTTGCTGCTGCGGGCATCGCTGCGATAGCAGTGCATGCTCGTACACGTGATGAGCGGCCACAGCACGCACCACATCCAGGTGAATGAGAAAACATCAATTTTTTGTAATACAATTTATAACTTTTATTACCTTTCAAAAGAATTCATACGCGAAATCGCAAAGGCTGTTGATATACCAGTGATTGCGAACGGCGGTTCAAGGGAGATTCAAAAATATAAGGATATATTAAGCTTTCGTGATTTATGCGGTGCAACTAGCGTTATGGTTGCAAGAGCAGCGCAGTTGAACGTTTCCATATTTCGGAAAGAAGGTAAAACTTTTCACAATACGAACCTTTGCTCATACATATCAATAGCTTAGAGAGAAAAGTTGCTAAGTCCGTTTTTACGAAAACTCATATCTTAATATAGGAAGCAAGAGAAACTAAAAATGCATCTTCGAAAGGGATAGAGGAAAAGAAAGTATTTGTTTTTTTCCAACCGTTTATATTCAATGGAAGGCAAATATGCTAAGTGCAAAAGATGCAACAAATATCCAATAAGGACAAAATACGAATCTTTTAATAAAGACCGAATCCTTCTGATTCGTATAGAGTTTTGCGTTGCAAAACGCGAAATGGCGCATTAAAAGTTTAGTAAAATACGTGAAGAAAATGGCTTTATGAAATTTGAAAAAATTTACTTATCAACTTTTTTCTCTTAAGCTATATATAAATACCACAGTTGTGAAATACGAATTTATTTTAAATGCATTAATGCTTATTAAAGCAATAATGTTAATGTAAAAATGTATGCATTAATTTTTGGGATTTGATGCAATAAAAAATTTCAATGCATTAATTTTGAAAAATATAATTCTAATGAAATTTGTTTTCATTAAATTATCCAAACTAATGCTAATGAGAACGCAAATACATTTTTAATAATTTTGCTCGTTCACATTGTTGAAACCCTTAAATTTCTAGCGTTTTTTCGACCTATGTACATTCAAATATGGGTCACGTTGTATGGGTACGTTTCCTAATGAAGAAAAATCATTAGCAATATTTCTTGGAAATTAGTGCATTCAAATTTTAGTTTTCATTAAATTTCAAAAATTAATGCATTAATTTTTTACATTAATATTAAAATGCTATGCATTAAAAATTAATGCATTTTGTACAACTCTGATACATACATATGTACATATGTATATATAAAATTAAAAAGTATTCTTAACACTTTCAAGGCATGCTGCCAATGAATGATATTATTGTGAAGTATTTGAAACTAAGTGTCGACTATGACAATGC